TTTTACTTATATATATATATATATATATATATATATATATATATATAAATTTTTTCTGAAAATAATATAATTTGTTATTTATATATGTTTATTATAATAATATTTGATACCTAAATAAATTACCAAACAGCAAATGAAAAGAAATTCCATAAATTATGCGTGTATTTTTCCAACTATTAACCTACATAATAGTTGGAAAAATATTATGCTATATCATAATATTATGCTATAGCAACTACAGTTCTTTGGCTCCTTGCATCACACAATATTCTTTTGTCATTCCTTCACGAGATATAACAAACATAAATACAAATTGGATCCTCTTTATTACAATATTCTATTATAAATGCGATAATTGAAGGATCTTATTATTGTAAGAGTACATGAAAGGAGGTATCCATTTGCAACAAGTGAAGACGAGCAATCCATTGCTCACTTATTTTTCCATGCACGCCAAGCTGCCAAATAAAAAGGCCAAATCAACTCTAATCAGTATGCTTGAATTGTATATTGAAATGTGGTTTCTTACGTTTACTTCATACTACTTGATACCCTAACTTGCTATTTATACATGAAGACCCAACACAACCTTAATATGTATTAACTAGTAAACTTATTAATCTTACACAAAAAAATATTTTATTTCAAATCATTTATATATTTTAATATTTTGATTTGATGGATGATTATGATTAACTTTATAACTTTGCTATGAATCGATGCAAATTCTCAATTACAATGTTTTGAAAAGCATTATAAGCGTATTCAAAAATATTTTAATTGATATTAAACCAGTAAAAATATGTATTTAAAATCTTAATGTTTATAATATTTTGATGGAGACACCAAACATGTTATAACTTTATTTAAAAATATTATAACTAGCATAGATGTCTCTCTATTTTATTATTTTTATTACTAAATCAATAAAAAAATATTATTTGAAATCCTATTTTTACATGTAAAATACTTCTATTATGTTTCAGTCAATTTACATAAATTATAATATTTTTAATAGATTTATAGTGTTTTGATAGAGGCATCAAAAAACATTGTAAGGCAAAAAAAAAAAAGGGAGGATTTTTCTCGAAAAATCGACCTTTTATGTTATAAAATATCATTTCTATGTTTAAAAAGGGGTGAAAAATATTTATTTATATGGATTTGTTTACCTGTACTGGAGACACTCCAATCTTTGTCGTATCCGATTGCCCAAAAGAAGTAGCCGCCGATGCCGAGCCGCTGGGCATAGTTTATCTTCCTCGTCACCGACCACGGATCGTCGTAGCCGACCCAGCTCGTCCCGGCGTAGGAGTAAGCCGCCGTCGTCACTTCGTCGTGCACCACCGTCGCACTTGTGTTCTTGTTGAAAGCCACCACCTCGGAGTACACGAGCACCCCGTTTTCCCCGGGGCCGACTCCCACTGCCGGCGCGCCGATACCGTTCTGGCTCGGGTCCTTGAGCTTCCACGTCTTCCCGTAGAGCGGCATGCCCATCGCCACCTTCTTCTTCGGCATTCCGGCGGCCACCCATGACTCCAGCCCGTAGCTCGTGCTTATGTTGCTGTTCGGGTCGTACAGCGCCGCGTGCTCGCCGGTGGCCGTCGTGTCCCAGGAGCCGTGAAAGTCGTAGCACATCGCGTTGATCCAGTCGAGCGCCGTGGCCATTTGCTCGATCGGGTACGACCTCTGGTCGTCGCTGAGGAAGAAGCGCGGCGCGAAGTAGACGGCCGCCGTGAGGAGGAGGCGCGGGCGGCCGGTGGCCGCAGCCTCTGACACCACCGCGGCTTGCCACTCGAGGAGGAGCGCGCTGAAGTCGTCCATCTCCTTGGCGTCCTTTGGGAACTCCCAGTCGAGGTCGAGGCCGTCGAGGCCATACTCGCGGGCGACGGTGATGGTGGAGTTGATGAAGGCGGAGCGGGAGGCGGGATCGGCGGCTAGCGCCGCGAAGGCGGAATTGCTGTCGCCGCCGCCTATCGAGAGCAGGCTTTTGACGGGTGGGTGAGCGTGGACGGCGGCGGTGAAGTTCCTGAGCATGCGGTCGTCGTCGGCGGCGATGGCGAGCCCGAAGGTGGCGGAATCGACCTGGACGAAGGCGTAGAAGACGTGGGTGAAGTAGGAGAACTGAACGGAGGAGGGTGGAGAATAAGAGAACGTCCATGTCGGCCAATAGCCTGCTTTGACCGCAGGTTGCCCCATGAGCGTTCGCCTTGCTGCAACAGCACAATTTGACAAAGAGAAGATGGAAGGGAAGAAGAGGGTGATGAGGAGGAGGAAGGCAATGTGTTCTCTCCACGCCATGGTTACTACTTGGGAGAAAGAGCACCATGGGAGGCCACTAAATATACACATGTTGACGGTGGATAGGCGGCTACAAAGTCAACTTTTGTTGGCGTTGACAAATTTCCTGGTGGATCAACACAGTAATCATCAAACGCACGACACCGTTAACGGATTTGACGGAGCAATACCAACCTTTCCCCTGTGATTGGATGACTAAATGTGGGACCCACTGTTGATCCACCATAATTTCAAGGAATATAAAAGTATTTCTTATGTAAATATTCTAGAAAACCGGCGATCCGGCCGACGGAAAAGATTTGCCGGCCTGCAACCTTTCCTGGATTGACTTTTTCACCGCTGACAATTTCTGAATTGACTTCATCGCGGTAACCAAGTGAAAGACTTTACGTAGGAACAAAGTTATAAACCAAAAAATAATATCAATATATTGTTTACAATGAGGGTCAATATTTCTCAATCATTACAGGTTGAATATGATGACTGTGCAACCTCCAGTCTCAGTCGAACAGGTCAAAATTAAACTTCTAGATTAATTGACTGACAACACCAATTATAGTTGGATCAATTTATTGTCTTGTGCAAGTACACTATAATAAATGGTTTGAATGGCTGGTACAACTACAAGTCACGTCGATTGAGCTATCAATTCAATAAAAGACTTTATCGTTCGAGTCAATTTAACATGGCAACACATGGCAGGATAAGGATTGCATGTTAGAGTCGGCCGGCAAAGTCTTGGACGACATGCGTTGATATCGGAAAAATATATAATAATATTACGAGTTTAGTGCGTGAAGAATGGGAAGTCACTTGCATCATCATTCAGCAGCCACACTATGGTATTAGTGGATGCACGTGCATCGTATGGTAGGAAGCCGACGCTTGCTGGTTGTATGAGTGGAGAATGAGCTATATATATATATATATATATATATATATATATATATATATATATATATATAGTTATTTTTAATATTTTAGTATTTTATATTTTTAAAAATTATATTAAGATTATTATACTTGAAGTAAAATATTTAATCTTGTTTCTTCTCATATCATCGATATACCATACGTGTTCAATAGTAAATCGAAATGAGATAAAGTCAATATAAAATATCTTATGATAATTTTGTCAGTAGAGTCGATAACGTAAAAAGAAATAAGGTTAAATTTTTTACCTTTATAAGTATAGGGATCTTAATATAACTTTTAAAAGAATTGAGATTGAGATGCTATAGTTAATTATAGAGATAATATGTAATTTACGTATAAAAAAATGATATTTAAAAAAATAAAAAAAATAAATATGTAACCATCAGTGTTTGTTTTCATATTCATTCCTCCGAATATAAAATTATAAATATATTGTTATAGTTAATGTGACGATAATGATATTGAGATTTTGACAACAATACTCATCGAATTACGTTGCTTAAATATCTTGTGTTATATTTTTTAATATATAAAAAAAACTTGACGATGAAGTAAAGAGATGAAAAGTAATTGATGAGACTAATAATAATAATAATAATATTTTTAATATTTAATATTTTTCATCATGGTTAAGCATTAATAATCATAGTTAGATGTGATTAACCGGATATTTTCACACTAACGAGAGTGATGTGCTTGGAGGATTTAAATACTGGAAGGAATATGTATTTTATGATGTCAAAATTTCAAAGTATGAAAGCATATATATACATAAATCCTGCAAATGTTTGGGTCTTCTTAATCCATAACTGTACCCACCCAAAACTTGGTCATTATTTTAGAGGCTAATTGACTTCTTAAAGGAGACTTTTGTATTTTACACTGTTGCATGAGACTATTGGCCAAATAGTTCATGAGACTTTCTCATTATACTAATTACATATGACTCTATGAAACATTGAGATCTCAGATTAAAAAAATAATTTTATAAGATTAAATTTATTTAAAAATTATTAAAGAACTGTTAAATATTTTATTTTTATAAATATAATGATCTCAATATAATTTTTAAAAATATAAAAATTTAAATATTAAAGATAACTAATTACTAATGAGCTTCCCAAAATAAAACATGAGATTGACCATTTAAACTCCATCCAAATTGACCTCATGTAGATTAAATTTTACTAAGTTGATAAAGTTCCATTTCAAATGAAAATCCCAATTTCATCTGGATGTTCGCTTTCTAGAAGTTTTTCCGAATCCGAAAACCTAAAATTTCGGATCCGACACAATTCGGATTCGGGTCCACGTATAAACGGGTATTACCCATCCCATTTCCCCATTTCCACCTGTCCGTGGTAATAAAATATTGCCCTCGATAGATACGGTAATCGTTGGCGCTCTCGTCGCATCGTCCGTTGCTTCGTCCCTCCTCTTCGATTACACTCTTTCGATTGGGTTTGGTTTTCAGATCCAATCTTCTCTTCTTCTTTTTTTTTCTTTTCTTCCTTTTCTCAACTGCGAATTGTTGATTCGGATTTCCATTCATCTCTTTCTTCCCTTTCTTTTGGTTTCTGATCAGATCGAATGGCCTCGGCGCTGGCTTCAGTCGCTCTCTCCGCACCCTTCTTCAGGGCGGTGCCCCTTCCAGAAAACTCCATGTTCCAGGTTTCTTATTCTTGGTTTCTTTGATCTTTTTCGGATCGAAGTTGTTCAATAGTTATAGAGATCAATGAACCGTTCCTTTGATTGAGCAGCGCATTGGAGCTGAGAAGAAACACGGCAATCCCCTCTTAAAGGGGAAGGTACAATGTTTCCTTTCCTTTGTTCCCAGTTGGATCTTAATTGTTGATGAGACTTGATTCTATGAGTTCGAGCTACATCTAGCTGTTGTTCTGTACCCATGTTTAGTGATTTAGGAGAAGCGATCAAAAGTTCATATAAGAAAATACCTGCTAAGGATCTTGTAATTTTTTAGACGGTAGAAGTGGAAATTAACATGCTTGGACTGCGATCTCCCTAATGATGTTCGGGTCAACCACATGGAGCCTATCCTGATCGTTTCTACAGTGATTTCCTTAATCAGCATAATGATATCATGTCTCTTGTCATTGTTTCCAACCTGAGACTTTCGACTGGTCTTACCTCATATTCAATTTGAATTGACTCAATGACCCTCTGTAATGTGGTTCAGCCTTTGTTAGATTTGTAGAAACAACCTTAATGGGTTAGGCTACCGTCTAGGACATATGTGTTGAAGATGTTAACATTCATGTTATCTCACTCTTTATTTAGAAACATTAGTTAACCTTAAAGATTTTTTTATTGTTTAAAGACCAAGTTATACTTATGTCCTATCTGACTAGTTTCTATATATGGCAATTTGATTATGCATATCAGATATTGTTCTCTGCTTGTCAACATATCCAACATCAGTAAGCAAAGAAACATACATATGAAGTCCTTGTGTCTCACCATCAGCATCTGCTGGACCCATATATGCTTAGTTCCATTCGTTTTTGCTTATGTTCATGCCTAGTATCGTTGTCATCCCCATTAGAGTATGTAAGTGAAGTACCTGAATTTTTACATGAGTTGATCAAATATGCAATCACATAGAAGCTTTTCAGATTACTGAAAGCATGCAGCAGATGCAAGGGGAGCTAAGAGACATAAATTATTGGTAAAAATATATGAACATAAATAGGTCATGAGGACTAGTGAATTTTAGTTGTGAAAATATATGAACATAAAAATATCTCAAGAGGACTAGTGAATTTTAGTTGCACTGGTGGATGCATAAAACTTACATGCTTAACTATCATTTTAGGTGTTAGAGTTGACATTATGCATCTTATTTACTGTACAATTGTCTGACTGCTGTCTGTGTGTGTAGATTTGTAAAACCATAAATCAAATCATGTGACCAGGCTTGTAGATAAGGGATTGTTATCGACACTATCAATAGATGTGTTTTCCTTTTAACACCACATGGGCTATAATTACATTATTGGTCATTTCTCTTAATTTTGTTATCCATTTCAACTTGTTTCAGCAATGAATGCTCAACCTTTGTATGGAAAAAACAGATCATGTTAGTTCGTACTGTAGGATTATCTACTTTGAAAGGTGGCCATCAAACTGATACATTTTTCTTTTCTTGACACCGGTATGTTGAAAGCAGATAACCTTAGATATTAGCATATTCAGTAAACTGGACTAGATAAACCAAGCATGTAGCTGTTTAATATCTTCTGATGTTGTTTATCTGAACCGGAGGATTGCATTGACAAACAAAGTTCAGATATATAATTAAGTCTTGGCAGCAATTGAAGTCCACATATGACAAAATAAAATAAACTTAAGCATACAAGCAGATAAATGCTTCATTCTATTTGTATGTCTTTGTCTTTTCATCACCAAAAGATGTCCAATAAGGTCAAATTGTTTGCTATTTTATGCTTTACTTATAGTATTTTTATAATGATCCATTCTGATGGGGTATATGATCCAATAATTTTATTGAGCTTGAATCAATAGCCTAAGATGCTTAAATCCAAATTTATGGTAATGGATTTACATTCAATTCTTCTTCCCCTTCTGATGTGAGAATAGATCAGGATATTATAATCTCCCTCACTCAAGATGTACGTGAGACCTAACATAGCCATATTGTGATGTGCCCTCCAGCCCTATTTATTAATTGTCCTTTCCTATTTGAGTCCCACCATATCCAACACTAGATTGGTTTTGATACCATTATATGATAATTCATACATTAATTTATTAAGTTTAAATCATTAATTCAAAATACTTAAGTTCGTGTTTATGGTAATAGAACCATCTAGCCCTTATAAGTCCATTTAAGTCTTCTCCTAGTTCAGATGTGGGATTAAATTGAGATATTATAATCTCTCTCACCTAAGGGCTTGACGTCTTTGCTGATGACCTAACATAGTCTAGAATTAGAATCTAGCATCGTGCATGTTGGAGCTATCCTAGTAGCGGATAGTCCTTTCCTACTCGAGCCTCTCATTTTGGTCAATACTAGATCAAGTCTAATATCTTTTGTTATGACGTGACTCAATGTGATAACCAATCCATTAACTTTGTTGAGTCTGAACCACCGAATAAAAAAGTTTAAACTCAAGTTCATGATAGTAGACTCATCTTGGTCTTATAAGTCTATTCAAGTCTTCTCCTACTTCTAGTGTAAGACTAAGTTGGAGGACTACAATTTCTGTTCTTTTAAAATGGAAAATCTCCATATTAACAACTGAGGACCTATTTGCTACTTTTATTTTATACATTTGTTTTTGAAAAGAATATATTAAAAATCTAAGATCTCAAGTGTTGTTGGTAACATCGTCTGAACTACTGTCTGCTTAAATCCAATTAATGGTATTAGACTCATCTAGCTTTTATAAGTCTACTCAGGCCTTCTCAAACTTCAGATGTGGGACTAAATTGGATATCTCATTGCTGTTGTTATTTCTTATTATGTTATATGTGTTCACTGTGTCCACATGATAATGGATATTGATAGGTTGCCATAGAGAGCCTATCTTTCCAAGCTTTCCTCTATCAGATTTTTTTTATTTTTTAGTTTTGTTAGCCATCACATATTTCTCCTCTTTATTTTAGCTTCCCCCAACTTACCATTTTTTGCTGCAAACACCCATAGTGGCGTGTCCTAATGATCTGTTCTAAGAGCACATGCTTGCTTTTTTTCAATCAGCAGGGGTGTCTCAGGTTTCTGTAAATTTTAAATAAAACAACCTCTAAAAATTTTAGAGATAGAACTGCAAAACCTGTGACCGCTAATATTAATAACTTGATGGTCAAGCCTTCTTTTCTACAACATTAAAATTGAAATTGATTTGTGATTACCAAATTAAGATGTTTCTTACATTTAAGAACATTGAAGGTAGCATGATACAGGTCTTTAGTTTCTCTAGATATTGTTAACTCTTTGTATGAGTATTGATCATGCTTGGAAATAAATACTAGATTGATTTCAAATTTCAGGATTTCAGACGAGTTAGTATGACTGTCTCAGTAAATGTTTCTCGTTTCGAGGGTGTTACCATGGCTCCTCCGGATCCAATTCTTGGGGTTTCCGAGGCATTCAGAGCTGACACAAATGACCTGAAACTTAATCTTGGTGTGGGAGCTTACAGGACAGAAGAACTTCAACCATATGTGCTAAATGTAGTTAAAAAGGTACAAGATGAGGCTAAACTTTTCTTCTATCAGTATCTTTGTTGTTGTGGTTAAAGCACCCAAGGTTGATATCATTTAATCTTGCTGTTCATTTTTCTTCCCTATCAATCATGTATTGAAGGTGATTATAGTAATGCTTAAAACAAACCATTGCTATTTTGTTATGTAGGCAGAAAAGCTTATGCTGGAAAGAGGAGAAAACAAGGAGGTATTTCATTGTTCAGTTTATTCAACCATATGGATCATAGCTCCCAGTAATTCATTCTAATCCCCACGCTACATCTGATATTGCAGTATCTTCCTATTGAAGGTTTGGCTGCATTTAATAAGGTTACTGCAGAACTATTATTTGGAGCAGATAATTCTGTTATCCAGGAAGGAAGGGTATGCTCTCATATCGTTTTGTCTGTTCATGTTGGAAATTTTTTTCACCTTCAATGCTGATGTAGAGAAATGTAATCTCAGCAGTGTTCGAAATCATGGTATAAAGGTGTACCATGAGCTGGGTCCAATATTTTGGTGTACCACAATAGAGGGCAGGTTTTAAAGTGGTCGTTTTTAATCAATTTTGATGCCTAGTGACTTGTATTGTGCCACACCGACCAGTATGTACTGGTCTGAGACAGATCCTCTTTGGTCAGTGGTACAGGTTTCTTAAACGTTTTAGTTTTGGTGATTCAGGTTGCTACCATTCAAGGACTTTCAGGGACTGGTTCTCTTCGGCTTGCAGCAGCTTTTATACAACGATATTTTCCTGATGCAAAAGCTTTGATATCCTCTCCAACTTGGGGTATGCAATGACCTCAGTCAGAACATTTTATGGGATGGCAGTGGACAAATACTTGAAATTGACGTGTTGTTATATCCTATTTGACTTACAGGTAATCACAAGAACATTTTCAATGATGCTAGGGTTCCCTGGTCTGAATATCGATATTATGATCCTAGGACAGTTGGGTTGGACTTTGATGGAATGGTAGCCGATATTAAGGTAATGCTAAGTCTTGGTTTATGACACTGGAGTCTGCATCATACTTCACCTGTGACCTTATTTTTTTTCAGAATTAATAAGGATGTTCCGATTTGAATGAAGAAAAAGAAGACTTTCATCCTTTCTTTTGGAATTTATGCAAATCACCTACGTTCAATTTTTCATTTTAGTCAAATTCTTATGCCCCTTACTTCCTGCAGTAAGCTTTCTCTATTGTTACCTCTTTGCAAAATTCATCCTAACATATTCTCAAACATTCAGTATCTAATGGCTGGTACTTTTGAACATTGCTTCTTGTGTCTCTTACTTTAACTAGATCAGGACCACAAGTAGGAACTACTGAGATAATATATCAACCATATTATCTAAACGAGCCTTATTATTTTTACCTGGTATGTTGTATAGGATGGGTCTTGATGTCATGAAAATGTTGTTTTCTTTTTGTGATCTAGGGGACAAAGATTCAAGTCACAGAAATAGTTTCTTGTTTGTCCATAAATTGAACTTTGCTTCTTGTCTCTTAATTTTTAGTACATCAGGACCACACGAGAGAACTACAGATAGAAACTATCGACTATATTATTTAAACTAGCTCTGAAATTTGTTATCATAGTTACTTGGCATCTGGAGGAAGGTGGGTCTTGATGTTATGATAAGGTTGCTTTTTCTGTGATCTTGGTGACAACGATTCAAGTCATGGAAATAGTCTTCGTATTTGTGCATACATAGACTCTTTCTAGACTCTCATTGATGGGAGTTTTGTACATCTGGTCCTTGTTTTGACTCATTGGGTATTTGGAACCCTTGAATCTTGGTTTGTGGTATGTGGGGTGTAAATTCTTTTTTTTTTTTGGAGTCATGGTAGTCGATTAGCCATGACTTGCATTGCTTATTAGTTTTCATATGACAATTATCATCTTGATAGTAAGTGCCTTTGTCATTGATTGTCAAAAAAGTGGTGATAAAACTTAAAAACCAATTATGGCTTCAATTGTAATGCTTTATTATTTGATCCTTTCTTGAGAATTCTGAAATTGAGATATATTGGTTTTTCTAACTATAAAACTCAAAAGTATTTGTAAGATTGTTTCTCTACTGCAATTCGTGATGCAAAATATGATGAATCCAAAATGCCATCCCAGTAATTATATTTTATCTATGTATTCAGGAGCTCTCACCTTTTCCTTTTTTCAAATTATTTATTGGTACAATGGTGAATGATGTATACTCGAATCAAAGTAAAGACTGCCTAGATGCTGTTTGGACCAAACATTACCTGATGACTTCGGAGGGAAGCCTTTGGAGTTGGTTTATTCGTAATTCTAGCATTCTGTTTAGTTTAGTTCAATTTCTTTTAGTCTGTGCATTGTTTTCATTGCAAAAAGTACAACTATTGCTTACAAAATATGAAGAATTTCCTTCTTATATGCCTTATATTATGCTAATAAGTTACAATATTTCTTTTGCTTTTAGGCTGCACCAGATGGATCTTTTGTCCTGTTACATGGATGTGCACACAATCCAACAGGAATTGATCCAACTCCTGAGCAGTGGGAAAAGATTGCTGATGTCATTCAAGAGAAGAATCACATCCCTTTCTTTGATGTTGCATACCAGGTGACAGTTTCTAATACAAAAAATGTTGTTACTTTTGCAATATGACTTGCACCTGAATCTTGATACAACTTTCAGGGTTTTGCTAGTGGAAGCCTTGATGCAGATGCATACTCTGTTAGGCTGTTTGTCAAACGTGGTTTCGAGCTTCTGGTTGCTCAGTCTTACAGTAAAAATTTAGGTTTGTATGCAGAAAGGATTGGAGCCATTAATGTTGTTTGCTCATCTTCAGATGCTGGTACAAGGTATGCTGTGAAATCTACACAGAAAACATTTTATATGATCTGTATCTGGTTTCTTATTTTATTCATTACCTCTTCCTCTTGTAATCAGGGTGAAAAGCCAACTGAAAAGGCTAGCCCGGCCTATGTATTCAAATCCTCCTGTTCATGGTGCTAGAATAGTTGCCAATGTTGTTGGAGACCCAAATCTTTTTAATGAATGGAAACAAGAGATGGAACTAATGGCTGGTCGAATAAAGAATGTAAGGCAGAGACTCTATGAGAATCTCTCTCAGAAAGATAAAAGCGGGAAGGATTGGTCTTTTGTCCTCAAGCAAATCGGCATGTTCTCATATACTGGTTTGCACAAAGCACAGGTATAATGACTGCTCACATCTCATATAATATTGATATAAGTTTTATGTCTTTTTTACCATTTTATGCATGCAGTGTTCACAGCATGAAATAATTTAATTACACTTTTTTATGTTCTGAATTTCTTTTATGATGTATTTGTCTTGTTAGAGCGACCATATGACGGACAAATGGCACATTTACATGACAAAGGATGGAAGAATATCTTTGGCTGGACTCTCCCTGTCTAAATGTGAATACCTTGCAGATGCCATAATCGATTCATTCCACAACGTCGACTAGAGAAGTTAGCATTGATTCATGGTTATCTACGGATGGTGATTCTGATTCTGAAAATTTTTGGCATTGTTCAGCTGTTCACTGCAGCGCTTCTAGTGTCAAAATTAGTTCGTCCATCAAAAGTTAACGTGTAGTTAAATAATACAGAACACAAAATTTTGTTGACGTCAAATTTGAACTGTGATAAATAAAGCTTAGTTCTCTTTTTCCGAGGCGAAAAAGGGTTTCAGTGCTTACAGATACTTCTTTTGTGATTTTTATCAGCTATAAAATGTATCTCTAGTCATCTATTTGTGGACTTTTGATGTGCAATTTCTTATCTGAGACAAAAGTTTGAACTGTTACTTCAGCCTCTGGATTTCCTTTTTGTCATGGAATGATAATTCAACAGTAGAATTCTGTCTAATCAGATGATCATGTGGTCCATATCAAGTGGCCACGAGTGTTAATGTCACAGAGAAGCAATTCATAGATACACAATTTGCATCTCTATTGCTTTCTTTCTTTCATCTTGCATCTCCGATAAACGAGTTCTTCGCATATTACTGGCCTAAGGTCGCTATACATTTTTGAGAAATTTCCATTGCTCATTCCTAAAAAGATAGTTTTCAAGATTTTAGACGATTAGTCAGTCCTTTGTCGCGCTACAAAATAATGACCAAAATCCTTATTAGTTGCTTAAAGCCCGTCTCTTAGACCTCGTTATTGACAACCGGCATGACACACTCTCAGAACTTATGAGCATAGATTTTTTCTCATTTTAAAAATAATTAAAATATTTGAATTGCTCTTAATTTAATTAGAGATATTTTCTTGTACCGAGTTAGGTAGTGAAACAAGATTTATATAGACCTCCTTGGCTTGTTCTCGTAGCTTAGGGCATACATTTGTACAACAGATATGCCTATAGACATCTGAAGTGGTGGAAACAGAATTGAGTTGAAACTGACCAGGACATGTATAGGGTCTTTACCTTTTCTAAATAGGTTAATGTTGCTCTTACTCTTCTTATCAATCGTCCACGTGGAATCGAAACGGTCGATTTGGTCTTGGACCGAGATGGATATAGGAGTCGAGGCCAATCCGAGAAATGACGGAGGGAAGAGGCGGAGGACGAAACTTTGTATCCTCCTTCGCGTAGCAATAACTAATTTAGTAGGTAAAATTTTTTATCGATATATTATAAAATCTTAAACTTGAATCTTATTTTCATCATTTATTTTTTTTATTAAAAAATAAAAATAAAAATATTTTACTTTATGATTTAGATTAACGTGGTGAATAATGAGCAATTTTGACCCTCTCAAATGTTATCTTTTCTCTTTGGACTAATTATGTATTAACCCTTATAATTAATTGTTTTTAATATCATTAACTCTACTAACCGAGGATACCATATATGCTTAGTGATAAATTAAAATGAAACAGAATCAACACGTGCTCAATGATAAATCTTACGTTATTTCCATCAATAAAATCGACAATATAAGAAAAAATAAGATTAAATGTTTCAATTTCATAAATATAAAAATCTCAATATAATTTTTAAAAATATAAAAATCAAAATACTAAAAATAACTAATTACTTCCTTTCTTTATCTTCCAAAATATCACTTCTTTTTCCTTAAAAAGACTCACTCAATGCTCTAGCTCGATTCTCAATCTAAACCAGTCTCAATATATGCATTATGAGGAGTCTTACTTTTATTACGGCATCTACATTTGATCACGTCTATCATCAATGGTTGCCTTGATCATAACCAAAATCTAAACTGATAATATTACAATTTGTGGGGAATTTTCCTTGTGCTTGCTCGGCTCTATGATCTGAACACACATGTATGAGTTTTCTGAGTGGCTCTTGACGAAATATTCTTGAGCATATTCGGATCACTACATACCATGACATATCAGGCTAACATCTGCATCCAAATACTGATATCTGGCCAATTGGATAGCATAAACTTAATCAACATACTACGCAAAAATACACAAGAAAAATATGACTTTTAGGCAAACACCAAAACATTCAACCTTGTAATTTCACCATGTTTTACCACGATACGGTTCTTAAATGAACAGAGATAATGTATAATCAAATGAAAGACAAATGGATCAGATTCATCCAGTTGCAACACTAGACATAGGCCATAATTATCTATATGAGATCATGTGAAGATAACAAAAAGCACAATGAATTACAATTGCATCTACAGTTGTTCAGCATTCAGAAAGTAAAATGCATTGTTACCGGCAATCCAGTATACAGCTAGATGAACTAATAGAACAAAAAGAAGATAAAAAAATAGAAAAAAGAACTAACGGCTCTGCAGAGTACATTCTATTGCATCTTACCAAGTGCCGATGCATGAAACAATAGCCATGTGAAATATTATTTCCCTGTAGAGCCTCAAATTTCAAATGATCAACCAGTGAGTGACAAACTTTAATCTCATTTAGCCTTGACCAAGCTTTTCCTTCGTCGAGGAAGCTTTCTCATTGAAGTCCATCAATCTAGTTTGACTGATGAAAAGAGGTAATGGACGAACCCGAATGCTGAGATGAATCCGATTGTACCAGTTGCAAGCATGATTGCGATGACCATCAACAAAGAGTAGCCAAGGTAGAGGGAGGCAGAGATGGGCCCACTTAAGTTCTTAAGATCAAACACCAGATAGTTCACAGAGTATAAGAATATGTAGATAGCCACTGATCCTGATGAGAAGAAGGATTTCCACCACCACTTCCAATCCTCGACACACAGGTGCATGTAGGTCAGGACTAAAGAAACTTCAGCACAAACGACGACAAGAAGAATCATTACGATGAAGAGAAAGCCGAAGACATAGTACACACGGCCCATCCAGATGCTTGACATTATGAAGAAGAGCTCGATGAAAAGAGTGCCAAATGGTAGGGTCCCAGCTCCAAGAACCAACAACCACGGCGGGTATTTCTGCGGAGGAATCTCGCGAGGTATCTGATTAGTCCTAACTGGGTACTCAATGTGCGGTGCCTTGGCACCAAGGAAGCCACCAACAAGTGTCAGTGGAACTGAGATGCAGAACCAGAGCAAAAGCAATATGATGAACAAAGAAATGGGTATTGCCCCTGTGCTATGGCTACCCCACAACAGGAAGTTTAATGTTGTCAAGATCAAGAACGCAATACCAGGGAAGAAACAAGCAACCCGCCAAGAAACCGAAATCCAACCAGTGTGATCCCCAGTTTTGATTGTCTTCCACATCCTGACAGCAACATATCCAGCAGCGATCCCAAGAACCAGGAAGAAGAACAGCATTCCTGTGATGAGAGTTCCCCTTGATGCAGGGGACATGAATCCAAGTGCAGCGAACAAGATGGTTACGATTGCCATACCAAGTATCTGAACTCCATCACCAACCAATACACAAAGGAGCAACGGATGACTTGGAGCTCTGAACACATCCCCAACTACAAGCTTCCATCCTGATAGCTCCTCATTCATCTGAGCCTGTGCCTCCTTGTCAAGCTCCTCATACCGAGTCAGATCCCTTCGAACAGTCCTCAACAGGATCACGAGAACAATACCAGCAAGGAAAGCGATCACCATTAGCGAATTCAGGATCGAGAACCAGTGAACCTTCGCCCCCTCCATCTTCAAATAGGCATCCCAGCGAGACGGCCACTTGATGTCACTCTCGACGAATGCAACCTCATAAGTGAAGACAATAGGTTGGTTTTCCTTCACTCTCATGGCCACTGCCTTGGGATCGCACTGGATGTTCACTGGGTACTTATCATACATCTTCAGAGCCTTGACCAAATCCGCATCATGTTGAAAGCTACATGGCACGACCTCGAAACCAACCACCATCCAACTGGGAGACCCTGAACCTGCCTTGTCCACCGTCGGGATCGCCTCGGCTGCGTCCCCTGTGCCCATCACCCTCGCCACATTCGTCTCCTCATACTTGTGTACCAAAACTGTGAATTTTAGGTGGTTGAACACATAGTAGGCGTCGGCGATCATGATCCCAACCGGGTACCCCGTCCACCGAAGGACGTAATCGTCCTTCTTGGTGTAGCGGATCGCGGGTAGGTTTTCGAGGATCAGGTTGACCTGATACATCTCGTCGATCCTCTTCTTGAGGAGGCGGAAGTCCTGGGCCGAGAGCGGGTCGGTCCGGCAGAGGAAGACGTCGGACTCGTTGGTAAACATCTTGAAGCGGTATGGGGAGTTCTCAATGCGGTCTCCCATGAGGAGCTCGCCGAGGTTTTCAGCGCTGTCCTTGATCCCCTCCGCCGGGCGGCAGAAGGGGAGGCTGTAGTAGCTGAAGGGCATCTCGGTCTCGATGGAGGTGAGGGAGTTCACCTTGACCGGGAGAGCGCCGCCGGCGGGGTACCGGTGCGGGTAGCTGCCGGGGAGGTAGAACCCATCGCCGGATCGGACGGCGAGGCAGGAGATCAAGATCCAGAGGGCGAGCCTACGAAAAAATCCCATCTTGGCGCCGGATTCGGCGGCAAAACCCATAGGAGATGGGTTCTTCACCCAGATCTGGAGAAGAAAAGAGAGAATTAACGGGCTTGGACAGATGGAACAACGGATCTATTCAGCAAAGACTACAATGTTTCAAGAAATCGCAGGAACAAAAAGAAAATTTACGAGAAAATCAATTAAATGACGAAACAAAGAAAAGATCGAACCTAGTCGCCGAGATCTGCCGGCGATCGAGGCAAGATGAAATTAGAGGCGGAGGAGAAGGGGGGTTAAAAGCTGCTTCGCTTTCGGTCAGAGGAGGCTGCGATAATTTTTTGGCTGCCGAAAATACCCCTACCGAGCATTTCTTCTTATTTAAGGTAAATACCATTTTAATTTTTTTTAAATATTTTTATATAGAAATTTAAATTATGCTTGCATAATATCGATAATAACGATCTTAACAATTTCTAAGTCTAATTAATTCATTTGAATTACCCTGATGTTGTCCGCTTCAAGTTTTGTATCTTGATTTGGTACATAATACAGTTTATGATATTTATTGTAGCATATTTGAGAAGAAGTTATAACAAATTAAGATCATAGCAAGATATAAAATTAATGATCTCATGATATACACATAAATATGTTTATAATTAGGATTATATTTAATTATTTTAAAATAAAAAAATAATATATTTAGTAATATTTTTGTTAAAATTTAAATTAAATTAAAATAAGATGATTTTGATATCAAATATCATGACCTTAAGT